ATTTTAAATTATTTAGAAAAGGGGGGTGATGACCTGGCCTCAAAAATACCACATGTGTGTACCTGGGAACTAGAGTCAAAGTGGTCTGTCTCCCCTAGTCAATGTCAATGTGTTAAGTTACCGCAAGGCAGAAGCAAAGTTTAGATAATGATCCTAAGCAGGACCTGTGGGGTTCCTGGGCACAAAGGCTTTCTGTGTCCCCCGTTTCTTTGATTATAGGAAATAGGCTTCAATCAGTCTCTATGACCTTCCCTGAGTTTCAACAGGCAGGTTCAAACAGTTGCTAATCAGGGAAAGGAGGGGATGCAGAGGCAAGGGAGGAACAGTCCGGAAACAATAGTGCAGCCTTGGGGCAGGGTCCTGGTTCCCCCTCAAGGGATACACAGAACAATACCTTTGAGCTGTTTTGCAGATACTATAACCCCTGCCAGGTAGAGAATTTAACTGGAGGCTGCCCACAAGCACTTAGACCCCAGACTGGTGGAACCAGAAGGTTGATGATGCCAACTCCCGATGACCTCATCACCAACCAGTCAGAAAGACGTCCATGAGCTGACCACGCCCTCTTTGAACCATTCCTATAAAACACCTCACTAACTGCTCCAGGTCTAAAACACACAGTTTTAATGCCATAGGGCATTAGCCCACTGTGGCCCCCTTTGCCTGGCAAAGCGATAAAGCTATTCTTTTCTACTTCACCCAAAACTCTGCCTCTGAGATTTAATTCAGTGTCAGGGTACAGAGGCTGGATTCAGCTTCAATAACTTGGATGAAGGCCATGGACAGAGCAAGGTGGCTGGAAGGCATTAGGAGAAAAATATGGGGTCTCGTTCTAATACAAATGCTGGCTTGAGGAGATATCTGGGTTTTAGTACTAGCCCATGGAATTGTCTGGAACACAGAGATTGAAAGCCCAGTTAACCTTTAAGAAAGTTGGCTCATCAACATTGGAACACAACAGGTTACAATTACAATCACTAAAGCATATCCCAAATTCCTAAGGGATGGGACACACCCCACGTACCCATCTCCTGTATGAGCACTGAGGACAAAAGAATAAGGGAAAATGCCCAGAAGAACAAAATCAGGGCAACGAATGCAGATCTGCTGACAAAAGAACTCTTTCTAGCACCGGAACAAACAAGGCAACAAATCCTGCTATTTTTATTATACATGGTATGGACGTTTGGCCGCTGTATTTTATTTCTCATTTGCCCCATCCAGTAGACGTTTTATTACAAATATTTTTATTCTCTATAATTGTGTTTTGCATATGATAAGCTGTTGGAAGGAGTTACACCTCTGTTGGTTTGCTGGACCACGAGGAACTGCATCCAGACCTGATGGATGGAACCGATATCAACCAGAGGCAGAGACTCAGAGCTGAATATGTAGCAGGAAAGAACAACCTGACTCCACACTGGATCTGTTTCTTTTGCTTTAGCCTTTGCATTCTATTGTTTTTCTACAAGTTAATCATTAAAAGGATGTTGCCTACACCTTAAAGCACACACAATGGCCCATCTCCGGAGAACCCTGACTCCCAGGCCAGAGGTAAAATACCTTTGTTTAACTCACAGGAAACATGCTGACGAGGCCCACGCACCTGTGAATGACTGCAGGAAGGAAGAAATTAACACTTCCCTCCCAGAGTCTGGCTGGAACCAGGAAAGATTTGCAACCACTGTGGAATTTTTTTTTTTTTTTTTTTTTTTTGCTTTTCCTCCTCACCATCCCCTCTTTGCTTTATAAAAGGAACTAGCATCCAAACCTGGGCAAGATGGGTCTTTGGGACACTAGTCCACCATCTTCTTCGTCTGCGGGCTTTCTGAATAAAGTTTCTATTCCTTGTCCCAGCACCTTGTCTCTGGATATATTGACCTCTTATGAGGCAAGCAGTATGAGCTTAGGCTCAGTTATAGGTATAGTAACTGGGAACAAGGACTTTAAGAGTGACTCGTGTTTGGACATTAGGTGGCTAAAGGCACGGACTAGAGTGGACCTCCGTTGTTTCATAGCTGCCATGACCCATGTCCCCTGCATTCTCCCAGTGGGGCTCCACTCTCAGCTGCAGGGCTGCGGGAGAACCACACTGCTGTCAATGGTACAGAGCACTGTGAGATCAGGAAGGGGAGACTGACCAAGCCAACCCAACCAGAGTGAATCACAGGTCAAGCATGGGAGTGGCCAGAGAGAGCTTTGCCCTCCTTTTCTCCAGATTTGAACTGGGAAGGATATGGGGTAGAAAGCCTACCCAGAATGAGGAGAGCATCTAGTGAAGCATGAACCCAGCAGAGAAGGAGCAGGGCTGAGCAAAGCAGATGAGAAACTGAGTCATGCTAATGAAGAAAGGCCCCAAACTGAGGAGAGACAGAAAGCATACATTTATCTAAACACTAAATTTTCAATCACATTTATCTAACCCTAAATTTTCATGTCTTTCAGTCAAAGGTACTTGAGACTGAATTTGTTTTCACTGTTAACAGGAAAATAAATCCCAACTAAACTTTTCAATTTATTTCTTCATCCTTAACCCACAATTTTGTACCATAGTCACACAACGCATAACCCAAGTCTCACATTCTGCAGACTTGACTCTTGGAGGGCTTCAGACTGAAATGTCCATCTTCCTTTTCTGCCTGGAAAACTTTGATTTACCCATTAAGTTTCATTACTTGTTCCCTCCTTTGTAAGAGTCCCTCTCAACATTCCCAGAGGACTACAGTGTTTCCAAAAACATTACCATTTCTACCATGACCACTAAAACGATTTGTTGTGTGTATCTCTTAGATAGAATTTAAAAAGGTGTTTGTTAATCAGTTGTTGTGTTTCTGTTTTTCACACCCTATTCATTGTTTTGACTTTCCATAGAAAATTACTAGATAGGATTTAAACAGTTTGTAGTAAGATACTGGTGGTAGCAGTTACATTGTCATTTCCAAAAAGTGTATCCCTTTTGTAAAGCCAGTTTTTTCAAAAAGTATGCCACGGAGCTTCCCTGGTGGCACAGTGGTTGAGAGTCTGCCTGCCGATGCAGGGGACACGGGTTCGTGCCCCGGTCCGGGAGGATCCCACATGCCACGGAGCAGCTGGGCCCGTGAGCCACGGCCGCTGAGCCTGCGCGTCCGGAGCCTGTGCTCCACAACGGGAGAGGCCACGGCAGTGAGAGGTCCGCATACCGCAAAAAAAACAAAACGAAACAGAAAAACAAAAACAAACAAACAAAAAAGTATGCCACTTCTTTTCTCCCCCAAAGGTTTAAATAATTGTTTATTTTTTAATATCTCTTTTGAAATTTTTATCTCCTATTGGAGCACAGTTGATTAACAATGCCACTCTCTCTTCTGAGTAGGAAAGTTGTCATTCTCGAATAACACTTTGCTCATTTGCACTGTTTCTGCACAGAGAAGAGACTAAATAGTGTTGACTCCTAATTATGTTCAGATTTTGTGCACTTTTCTTGTCAAGTGCCTCCAGAATGTTTTCTTTTCTTTTTATTTATTTTATTTCAGTAAGTACTTGAGTTGGCTGAAAATAATCCCTTTCCAAGGCCCATAAACAAGAGTATCTTAAGGCTGACAATACCCTATCGTGAAGGCTTATGTTTTAAATACCTTATTTTATGTGATGCAGTGCTATCTGATGCCCAAGGGGAAAAGTGACACAGCAACAGACCACAAGTATCAAGACTATTTTTAGGTATTATTCTGGTGACCAAAACAGAGACATTTGTTTCTAAGTTGGGATGTAACCAAAAAATATCACATCCTCTGTTTCCTTTAGTTCAACAAGTCCTAGATTGCTGTCTTATAAGCTATTTTTCATATGCTGTGGCACAATGTTAAGTGTTTTTATTCGGAAGCGGCCTGCTGGCCGAGTGCCCATTCATTGTATGACAGCATTTTCCCTCAGCTGCATCAGAACAACAAACGGAGAAGTTCACACTTCCTCATTAATTCTGGAAAACCCACACTGTGGATAGCATAGCATGAACCTTTTTAGGTCTTGACAATTTCTGGAAGTGTTTTATTTTATAACAGAACTCAAGAATATCCAAATTTAATAGCCAACAGTAGTTATGCTGAACACTGCGTCTGTAAGTATCATAACTCTCTTAAAGGTAATCATTGTCTTGCTAAACGCTATGAGTTCGGTACTAAGAACATGTAAGCCTGTCATTTTCTTTTTCAATGGTTTTTCATTTGATGAATGTATTATTGTAATTGGGGACTGTGAAAGATAATACAAGGCATCATTTTTAAAGTCTTGATGTTTCCCTACAATTTATGGGAAGAATTCAAATCCCTCAAGTCCTAAGGCTGAAACTTTAAGCATGTGAATTTCAGCATCCAGGTGAGACTGCTTACTCACATTTAAGGCAGAAATAGCATCAAGAGAAAGAAAAATGTGGATTAATAGAAAATGAAGCTTTAGCCTATTCATACTTTAGTTCCCATGCATTTGCTCCTCCACGTTTTGCCCTTTTATTAATAAGAATCTCACTCTTTGTACGTTAAATATTTACAATGAGACGTAAAAGAATGACCTTGGGCCCTGGGTCTGATTTCTCACCTCCTGCTTATATAACTTAGTTCAATTAATTTAATTTCTCTAAACCTCAATTCCATTGACTGTAAGATGGGAAACTGACTTTGCTTACCAGTTTGTTATGACTGTATTAGAGAAAATGTATAGAAAGCACATAAATTAAAAAAAAAATCCTGGTGAAACTCAACAAACAGTAGGCGTTCATAATAAGTGCTCAACTAACAGCATCCACCATGGTGGTGTTCGTCAACCATTGTGTTACTTCCTTTGGGCCAGACATCTTCACAAATGCTATCGAGTTCAGCTATCACGTAAGGACCAGGAGATGCTATTGTCTTGTTGTTGCTGTGTTGTTTTATTTTGCCATTACTGCCCCAAGTTTATAAATATAATGTACTCTACTAAGTTAAATTCTTAGATTGGGAGCAAAGGTCACTGATATTCTGGAAAGAAAAAAATGACAACAGAACGTAAGAGGACCACGCACATTCGCTTCCCGCCACTCAGACATGAGCTCTCCTGGTCACAAGCAGTTGTCCTACTAGCCTCACCTAAGAGTCACACAATGTCACTCTGTTTACACTGAGCTTCTTCCTTGCCCCTTTCAAATCAAATGCAGCCATCCTTGCCTGATACGTCCCTAGAAGAGAATCGATATTAGTTGTTCTAGATATATGTTTGGGTGGGAAAAGTGTCAGATTGACCATTAACCAAATACGATGGAGAGATTCATGGGCCCTCCACAGTGGGCTTTGAGTGAGTCTGTCCTTTCGGTTTGCCATTTCCATCCATCAACCCCATCTATTTACTGCTGACCTACACAGACGCATAGCCATGTCAGAGGTGCCACGAGAAATATTTATCTTCCGAGACCAACAAAGAAAGCAGAGAACCTTTTCTTTTGAAATTGATGAGCCCCATTCTGGGTTCATCAGTTTTGAATCTGACGCAGCAGAGAAACAGAATGGTGGTCGCCTTTGTCAGCTGCAGCCCTGCCACTTGACAACACAGAGGGAGAGTCCATCAGCCTCCAGCCAGGGCTTGAGCTCTGATCCCTCCATCCATGTAGAGTGTTTCGAAGGCTCTCAGGGAACCCTTGGGACCACGGGCACCAATCCTCAAGTGTTTAACAACGTGATACATGCCAGTGACCTTGTCTGTAAGGAAATTACAAAACAGTGTGTCCGTCTGTGAACGTAAGTACACATAAAACCAAATTTAAATAAATAACCATTCAAATATATAAAGCCAAAAAGAGTAAGTTTTGTCTAAATTTGCCAAAGGGACAGGTTTATACTGTTGTTAAGGCAAGTTAGTTAAGGTCAGTCCATCCTTATTCTCTTTGAGAGCTTGGACAAGTTACTTCAAGTTTTGGGGTGCAATTATCCATCCTACATGGAGAGCTATACTCAGAAGTTTGTTCTGAGAATTCACTGTATTGATATGAGCTTAGAACATTTTTCGAAAAATGCTCAATAAGTGTTAGCCAATATTCACTTTAAAATATACAGTAAAGAACAATGATTCTACACCAATTTACATAGTCCAGATTCAGAAATTGAAAAAAGAGCATTTTTAAATTTTAATAGACCACAGCATTTGACTATAGAAAATATAAACCAAATGTTTGGATAGATGCAAGAATCTCTTTGGGGTTTGCATTTGAATACGTTAAAATAGGACAATGCATTCAATCTTCCAGGAATTTATTCAAATAAACATTTTTTAATATGCACACATGCTGAACTTCTTTCTATTTTTTTATCTGTACAAAGCTTGTTTTCAATTCAGATTTTCCATACCTGGTTTCTTTCTATAATTCAGGTATCAACTCAGATTCTACCTCCTCAGAATGGCCTTGTTTGATTGCCCTATGTAAATTAGGCCCTTGCTCCCAAGAAATTCTCTATGACGGTGCCCTGTTTCCCTGTCTGCAAAACCCTGATTACAATCAGAATACGCCTGGATTATCTGCTACTTGTTTCAATCGGTCTCCCTCCACTCTTGCTATGGTTGTTTACCACTTATCACCAGATAGCGCCAGAGTAGCGCCGGGCTCATACTAGTAATAATAATAGCCTCCACTTATGGCTTTTGTGCATAACTTACTTTGTGCGCTTTTCACGTATTGACAATATAATCCCCACAACAACCTTGCGAGATAGATGCTACATTACACTCATTTTACAGATGAGACAAAGGAGGCAAAGAGTGGGAAAATGAGTGCCCATAATCACACAACTAATGAGTTCTTAAAGCGCACTCTGGTCTACCCCTGAGGAGGCACTTAACACAGAGTTATTAAATAAATGACTACATGTGCTAGGTTTGGGGCAAGGAGCTGAATATACAGAGATGAATAAGACCTAAAGTCTCAGGGCACAGGCCACATGAGTCTATGTGAAGGAAAAGATATAGTAAGTTAATAAGCAAGATAACACCTTGAACTTATACAGCGATGCCTGTCAATTACATCTCAATAAAACTGGGAAAAAATAAGCAAGAGAGACAGATTCAGTAAATACTAGACATCCTTTGATAGAAGCTTTACCGGGCACTAGGAGAGTAGGAACGAGAATGTGGCATTTCCTTTGGTGCTGAGGTCTGGTTTTCTTAGGGGGACGATGACTCATGGCTGTTTTAAGGGAGAAGAGTGAATATGGGAGCCTTAAATGGGACAGCACTGGGAATCTCTAGGTGAAACATTATATAATACAGTAGAAAATGCCTGAACGATGTAAACTAGCTTGACAACCCCAGAAACACTGCGTGAGGTTTGTTCATACCACTGCACCTCAGTGGCTGTATGTGGTTCCCCTGCAAGCCAAGCTGTTACCATGGAGACATGAACAAATGACCCAATGCAGGCGGAATCTTCAACCATCGCTAAGCTCTTAGAAAATCAGTGCCAACAAGCATTCCTCCACTATAAGCAACTCTACCTTTAGAAAAATTAAGCATAGGAAATGACATCATTCATTTCAAGGAAAGTAATAAATGTAGAAAATATAAGCATTGGTCACTGCTGTCAGCAGATAAAAGAATTTAAAATGTTCATTCACTAATATTAAAGACTGCATTGTCACTATAGACTATAGTTTATATGTTGTTTTAAAATTGGGGGACTTGGTTTTGATCACCTCAAATAGCATTAATAAAGTGCCAAACTTTACAAGGTCCTTTATCATGAACAATGCGTCTATTCAGTTTGAGAACACCAAGATATTAACATATACCAATCATTTAAGGAAAAAATAAGAACTCTCAGCTTGATAATTGTTAAATTTGTCTCCTCTACAAGCATTAACTTTTAGTGAAGGAGGAGTAATGTGCAGCCTTCACTGGCGTCATATAACATATTTTGGTACATCATGTAATTTGGTAAATAATTTAAATTTTATTTCCAGATTTTATTTTCTTTTTTTGTCTTTTTTTGTTTGTTTTTGTTTTGGGGGGTTTTTTTTGCGGTACACGGGCCTCTCACTATTGTGGCCTCTCCCATTGCAGAGCACAGGCTCCGGACGCACAAGCTCAGCGGCCGTGGCTCACGGGCCCAGCTGCTCCACAGCATGTGGGATCTTCCCGGACCAGGGCACGAACCCGTGTCCCCTGCATCGGCAGGCGGACTCTCAACCACTGCGCCACCAGGGAAGCCCTTTGTCTATTTTTTTAAAGTAAGTCTTAAGCTCACTTTGGATCACATCGTTTAAGAATATTGTTCTTAATCATTCAAGGGAACTTAATTTGGTTATTTAGAGGGGACTCTGATCACAGATTTACGGTCCTTCCCAATTTCTTTAAGAGACCGAAAGCCTGGAAAGCTTTCATGCACCCTGTGAGCTGCATACCTGAATTTACAGTTACCATCTTTTTAATTACTCAGAATATGCTGAAGACCAAAGCTGTTTTTCATGTATTAGTGCACCTTCTTCCAGAAAGCGTTTGAAGCAACCTCTTGATGGGCATTTTCCAGGAGCAGAGGGGGTTTTCAGTCAGAGGGGAGCTAGTCACAGTTGTTTTGAGTGGAAAAGACTCAGCCCAGGCCAGGGAGTTGGTGGAAGAGCTAACAGTGCCCTGCACGTAGGGTCCGCTACAGGGTGATGCTTCTCTCCTTAGATTCTCACAACTACAAAAGCAAGGCCTTGCACGAGGCCCCTCATATGCATCCCCTGACTTGGTCCTATGTAGAAAAGGCTATCTCTGCACTAACAAACTGAAGTCTTCGCGATTCATTTGAAGAGCCTACAAGAGGACACAGACTGCTGTTGTTATAGAACAGAGAAGGCAGATGCCCAGCTCCTGAAAATAAGCCAGATCTCTAGGAAGTGCCCTGAATCAGGTGGGGTTGTCAGAGAGTTAAGGATAAAGGACCAAAAGCTCCATTTATCTTAGGTGTTTATTCCTTTAAAAGACACAAGAATATTTTCTTCTTATTCTTTTTTTGAAAATTTTTATTGGAGTACAGTTGATTTTTCTTCTTATTCTTTAATTGAAGATATATATTTTAATATTTAATCGAAGCTGTATTTTTCCTGTCAAATACATTTTGTTTATCTTGCTTTTTCACATACACAAACAGAATTCTTTTACATTTATTTTTTTCTTTTACAAATTGGACTGATTTCTTTTGTACTTTAACACATGCAGAAGGTTTGAAAACTCCACATACAATCGGTACCTGCTTGACTCACTGATACCACTTTTCAGAGAGAACTTTTTATTTCTCTTCAGCTACACTGGTGGTTACATGAATGACGTTTCTGATAGATGTGTAAGTCAAAAACAATTGCTAGACACAACGCTCTAGGGAGTTGTTAGAGAGATGCTCTTTGTGCCATATCTAAACTACCCCCCTTAACATTTGGAACTTTGTGTTTCATTCATTTAACCGATACATATTCTCAGGTACTTTGCTTCCAGAACATTGTTTGAATAATAAACAGTTATTGTTTCCTTGGTGCCTGGAATAACTTTCTGTTATTCCTATTGATTACCATATCCTCAGTAATGAGGAAAAACTTAAGACGTGATTAATAAATCCTATATGGTCTACCTCATAATAATACCACTAGGAAGAGTCCTAAATTGTGAATTATTTATTCTGATAGTTAAAAAATTTCTTTTAAGTTGAAACACATGAAATTTATGAAAAGAGAAGAATAGCACATATGTATAGCTTTCAGTATTTATGTATTTAATTCCTCTGTTACTAAATTTTTTAATGCCTGGGAACTACCTTGAAAAGCATAAAATAAAGAACCTAATACATATTCATTTAATTATTGAATTTAATTATAATCACAAAATATTAACATTAAAAAACATTAAACGGTCATCTCACAGTAACCTCAATAGTCAAGCCTTTATTTTCATTTGAATTTCTTAAAAAAAATAGTTACCACTTTTCGTAGATCACTCAGTTAGTAATTGACAGAAATAAAATAAAATCCAGGTCTCCTGCTGTCAGAATAATACTCTTCACTGAAACCGTTTTTCCTCTGTCAAGGCTTTTGGTTAAAAATTAGTCCACAGTGCCCACAAATTGTCACTATATTTTAGATTTAAACAATAAAAATGAAGAAAATGGAGTTGATTGCTGGGCAAACCCAGTATTTCCAGTATCTTTTTAAACTTCTTTTCTCATAATACACCTTTTCTTCTAAAAGATTAGTGCTAACGAGAGATGGCTGGTTGTTTGCTAAGGATTCTGGACAAAGTTGGGTACGTGTGTGTGAAGAAGAGAAGAGCTGTTCCAGGCACGTCTGCCCTCACACCTTGCGTCCAGGTGGGATCACATGACTGAGTCTGGCCAAGCGGGTGTGAGTGGAAATGATATAAACTAGTACTTCTCACACTTGAGTTTGCATTAAAATCACATGAAGAGCTGGTTAGAATGTGTATTCCTGCGCTCCACCTATGGAGTTTCTCATTTAGCAGGTCTAGAGTAACGCCTGGGAATGTGCATTTTTAACCAGTTAGTAGGTGACGCTGATGCTATCCACCTCCTGAGAAAAAGACGGTCTTTTAATGAAATCATTATTTTATGTTATGAACAAACAAAATAGTAATTTCTGTCTATTTAGACACGTGAATACGTTTTCTACTACCATCAAGTTGAGTTGTAGAAGTTGAGGAGATTTACAAATTTAGTTTTTAA